AGGAGCTGTTGTGCCCTTGTACGTAGCTTAGTTGGAGCACTGCTTTTACGACTGTGCAAAGTATAGTTGTTCGTTTGCTATTTGCATAAGGGAGAAGGGCCGTGTCCTTCGTCACGTTATCAGATGAAGGGTGGGGAGTGTGTTGTGGGACCAGGCAGTTTTGGCTTGAGGGCGATTGCATGGCCTCAGCCCCACCCAGAGACCGCAATGTGCACGGCAACCTGCACTGGTTTGCCGCAGCGGTATCGTCTGTTGGCTGTGGAGGTGATGTTGACGTTGATACATGCTAGCGACCAGTTTGCATTCATGATCGTGTAATAGCACAACTGCAGAATTAATTGGGTTGATAGTAGAAGTGCGCGTGTGCCAATCTCTATGCCAGGCTTTGTAATCGGCGTTTGGGAAGGAGGCGACGGTGTGGGGGAGAACACAGCCTTGGGTGAGCATTTGCGCAACTTGCGTGGTGCCAGTCAAGGATTTAGCTAGCATTTATGTCAATATAACGCTGTTAATAAGCATTCTCGGGGCTCTGGCGGCAGACTGTTTTAATAGGTCTCACGAAGGATTGAGTGCGAGTCACGAGTCAGTTTAGCGTTATGCATGCGCGTCGGGTTTGCGCACGTTGAGTAATTGTTTTGGTGTAGTTGCGCTCGCTCTGTTATTAGTTGCATCCAACTGTGTCTTATGGTTGAAGTGGGCTTTGCTCTCAGCCGCAGTGACGTTGGAAGCTGTCATGCACTGGAGCGAAGAGCAAGCATGGCTTTGTTGAGACCGAATATACGTGTGAGTGGAAGTGGATGGGTTGACGCCCGGCGATGGCATGAGGTATTTAGGAGGCGATGTAGGTTTGTAAGTGTATGGGCAGGTGACGATGCAATATTGGAGAATGAGAAGGGGCTCTAAAGATGGCGGCGGCTGGGACGTGGAAGAAAGAAAGTGCAGTGCTCTCGTGGGGATTTGTTTACCATAGCAAGTGCGCTAGGGATCGTGGGCGTGAAATGATTGATGTTGCTGCTCACAAGGAGCTGTTCTGACCTTGTACGTAAAGTAGGTGGAACGTCGCTCTTGCGATTGTGCACAGGAAATTTTTTCGTTTGCTATTTGCACAAGAGAGAAGGGCCGATGTTTTTTTGTGAAGCGATCAGGTGAAGGGGAGTGTGTTGTGCCACCAGGAGGTTTCGGAGTGAGGGCGACGGTGAGATCGCATGACCTCAGACTCTCGGCCGTATTGTGCATTGCAACATGCTCTGATTTGTCGCAGCGGTATCGCCTGTAAGCTGTGGAGGTGAAAGGTGGAGATGGTGTGGATACATGCTAGCGGCGAGCTGGCATTGATGGTCTTGTGTAGAATTAATTTCATTAATAGTAAAGTCGAACATATGGCAATCTTTGTGCGGGGCTTTGTAGCCGGCGTTTGGGAAGGAGACGATGATGTGAGGGCATACACTGTCTTGGCTGAGCACTGGTATTACGTGTGGTCGACATGGAAACGTGATTGTGTGGGCCCCGTCAAGGTTTTAGGCTGCATCTGCATTAATGTGAGACTGTTAATAAGGAACTTTATCGTGTGAGTGTTTGTATAGGTTTCACGAATGATGGAATGTTATTGAAGAGCCAGTTCAGCGTTATGCATGCCCTTGTGTTTCGCCCATGTTGAGTAACTGCATTGTTATCATTGTGTTCGTTTCCTGCTTACGTGTATCAAACTATATCGCACGGGTGAACCACGTTTTGATCTCAGAATCTGTGACGCTGGAAGCTGTGATGCAGTGAAGGAAGCAGCAAGCATTGCTTTGTTGAGGCCGAATACACGTCCCAGTGGAAGTGCATGAATTGAAGCCCAGAGATGGCATGAGATATTTAGGAAGCGATGCTGGTTCGTAAGTGTATGGAGGCATGTTGCAGTTGAGGATGCAATGTTGGGAAATAAAACGGGCCTATAAGTATAGAGGCGGCGGTGACGTGGACGAAGGAGGTTAGAGTGCGGTAATGTGGGGATTTCTTGGCATAGCTAGTGTGTTAGGGATCGGGGGGGTCTATTGATTGATGATGTTGAGCGCGAGGAGCTGTTGTAATCTCGTATGAAGCTTGCGTGGAAACTTCAGGGAGCGAACGTGCACAGGATAGCTTTTTTTTCTTTTTTTTTCGTTTGCTATTTTAATGCGGTAGAAGGGACAGAGTTGTTGACAAGGCATCAGCTGAAGGCACTAGTGTGCTGTGATCTGGCGGTTTCGGCTTGAAAGCTGTGCTGAGGTCGCATGAGCTCAGACTCTCCGCCCCCGTGTGCATTGCAGTGTGCGTTGATCTGTCGCAGTGGTATCGTTTGTAGGTTGTGGAGGTGAACGGTGGAGATGTTGGCGTGGATACATGCTAGCGGTGAGTTGACATTCATATTCTTGTAACGGAAGAAGTGTAGAATTAATTTCATTGTTAGTAGAGTCGAGCGTATGCCAATCCCTATGCCGGGCTTTGTAGCCGGCGTTTGGGAAGGGGGAGACGGTGTGAGGAGATACAAAGTCTTTGCGGAGCACTGGTATTACTTGTTGTCGGCCTGGATACTTGAATGTGTGATACTAGTCAAGGATTTATGCTGCATCAGAGTTAGTGTGAGGCTGTGATTAAGCCTGCTTGTGGCTTTCGTGACGGACTGCTTTTATAGGTTTCACGAAGGATGGGAAGCAAGCAAAGTGTTAGTTCAGCGTTGCGCGTGCGCTTCGGGTTTTGCGCATGATGAGTAATTGCATTGTTATCATCGTGCCAGCTATGTGTGCTAGTGCATCGAACTATGTCTTGAGGTGGAAGGGGGCTTGGATATCAGAATATGTAACACTGTAAGCTGTGATGCAGTGAAGGAAGCAGCAAGCATTGCTTTGTTGAGGCCGAATATAGGTGTAAGTGGAAGTAGAGGAGTTGAAGCATGGCGATGGCATGAGGTACGTAGCAAAGGATGTTGACTCGTTAGTGTATGGAGGCATGACGCGGGTGTGGCTGCAATGTTGGAGGATGAGAAGGGGCTTTAAAAATGGTGGCGGCTGCGAGGTGGAAGAGGGAGGGTGGAGTGCGGTGATGCGGTGATATGTTTGCCTTAGGCAGTGCGTTCGGGATCGTGGGCGTGAATTGATTGATGCTCTCACGCGAAAGAAGCAGCAGGGACCTGGTCTGAAAGTTGGGTGGAAACTCCTGGGTACCACTGTGCAAAAGATAGCTTTTTGTTTGCTGTGGGAATGGAGCAGGAGGTGTGTTTTTAGCTTTGTTAGATTTCAGCTGAAGGGGAATGTGTGCTGAGACCAGGCGGTTTCTGCGCGAAGCCGGTGGTATGATTGCATCCGCTCAGCCACTCGGCCCCAATCTGCAGCGCAGCGCGCATTGATCAGTCTCAGAGGTAGTCTGTGGAAGTGAAAGGTGGAGATGTTGGCGTAGTTAGCCTAGCGGCGAGTTGGTACTAATGGTCTCGAAATAGCAGAAGTGTAGAATTAATTACACTGATAGGAGGGGTGCACGTGTGCCAATCTGTATGCCGGGCTTTGCAAGAGGCATCTGGGTAGCGGATGATGGTGCGAGGGCATACACAACCTTGGCTGAGCACTGGTACAACGTGCGGTCGACATTGCTACTTGATTGTGTGGTGCCAGTAAAGGGTTTTGGTAGCATTTGCATTAATGTGAGGCTGTTAATAAGCCTGCTTAGGGTTCTGTCGACTGCGTGTTTTGATAGGTTTCACGAATGATGGAATATTATTGAAGAGTCAGTTTAGGGTTATGCATGGACTTTGGGTTTTGCGCATGTTGAGTAACTGCATTGATACCATGGTGCCGGCGTTTTGCTTAGGTGCATCGAATTATGTCTGGTGGTCGAAGCGGGCCTTCATCTCAGCCCGAAAGACAGTGGAAGCTGTGATGCAGTGAAGGAAGCAACAAGCATTGCTTTGTTGAGGCTGAATATACGTGTACGTGGAAGTGCATGAGTTGAAGCCCAGCGATGCCACAAGGTATTTAGGAAGCGTTGTAGGGGTTCGTCAGTGTACAGAGGCACGGCGAAGGTGAGGGTGCAATGTTGGAGAATAAGAAGAGGCTTTAAATGTGGCGGCGGCTGGGACGTGGAAGAGAGAGAGAGTGGAGTGCAGTGATGAGGAGATTTCTTGGCATAGCTAGTGTGTTAGGGATCGGGGGGGCTTATTGATTGGTGCTGTTTCGCGAAAGGAGCCGTTGTGAAGTTGTATGAGTTTTCCGTGGAACATCCCCGGTAAAACTGCGAAACGTTTAACCCTTGGTTTCCTATTTGCATGTGGTAGAACGGCTATGCTCCGTACGATATAACATGGAGAATGTCCTGCGACCAGGAGGTTTTGGCGTGAAGGCGGTGGTGGGGTCGCATGACCTCAGCCGTCCTGCACCACTGTGCAGTGCAGTGTGCGTTGATCTGTCGCAGTGGTATCGTGTGTATGCTGTGGAGGTGAAGGGTGGAGATGTTGGCATTGCATGCTAGCTGCGAGTTGGCATTGATGGTCTTGTAATGGCACAAGTGTGGAATTAATTTCATTGTTAGTAGAGTCGAGCGTGTGCCAGTCTCTATGCCGGGCTTTGTAGCCGGCGTTTGGGAAGGGGGCGGCGATCTGAGGAGATACAAAATCTTTGCGGAGCACTGGTATTACGTGTGGTCGGCCTGGATACTTGAATATGTGATACTAGTCAAGGATTTATGTTGCATCAGAGTTAGTGTGAGGCTGTGATTAAGCTTGCTTGTGGTTCTTTCGAATGTGCGATATAATATGTTTCTCGAATTATATATATAATTTTATTGAAGACTCAACGAATACGCTTTGGGTTTTGCGTATGTTGAGTAATTGCATTGTGATTACCGTGTTTGGTGTGTGACTAAGCGTATCGACATATGTCTTATGGTTAGGGAGGGCTTCAGCACCCCCGGCACTGTAAGCTGTAATGCAGTGAAGGAAGCAACACGCATTGATTTGTTGAAGCCGAATATACGTATGAGTGGAAATGGATGATTTGAAGCAGCGCGATAGTATGAGGCGTTGTGGACGTTATGGGGGACGGTAAGTGTATGAAGGCGTTGCGCAGGTGCGGAAGGAATGTTCGAAAAGGAGAGGAATCTTGAAAGAGGGCGGCACCTGCGACGTGGAAGAGAGGGGGTGGAGTGCAGTGATGCGGTGATGTGTTTGCCATAGGAAGTGCGTTAGGGATCGCGTGGGTGTAATCATTCTAGTTGTTGCGCGAAAGGATCTGTCGTGACCTTGTACGTAGCGTGGGTGGAGCATTGCTTTTACGACTGTGCAAAGTATAGCATTTCGTTTTGCGCATGGTAAGAAGGCCGTGATTGTCGTCAAGGTATCAGGTGAAGCGAAGTATGTGCTGACACCGAGCGTTTTCGGCGTGAAGGTGGTGCTCAGGTCGCATGACCTCAGCCGCCCCGCACCAATGTGCATCGCAAAGTGCGTTGATCTGTCGCAGTGGTATCGTGTGTATGCTGTGGAGGTGAAAGCTGCAGATGTTGCCTTGCATAGAGGTTGGAGGCGAGGTGGCATACATGGTCTTGTAAAAACACAAATGTAGAATTATTTTCAATGATAGGAGGGTAGTGCGTGCAGCAGTTTTTTGTTGGGCCTTGTAGCCAGCGTTTAGGATGCAGGTGATGGTGTGAGGGTATACAGAGCCTTGGCTGAGCATTGGTACGACGTGTATTCCACATGGATATTTGATTGCGTGGTGCCAGGCAAGGATTTAGGTTAGGTGCATGAATACGAGGCTGTGAATAAGCCTGCTTGGGGCTCTGTCGACTGAGTGTTCGTATAGGTTTCACGAAGGGTGCAATGTCAGTGAAGAACCAGTTCAGCGTTATGCATGCTCTTTGGGGTTTCCCCTTGCTGAGTAACTGCATTGCTATCATGGTGCCCACTATGTGATTTTAAGTGGATCGAACTAAGTCTTATGGTGGAAGTTGAGTTTGACCTCAGCCCGAGGCACTTGAATCTGTGATGCAGTAAAGGAAGCAGCAAGCGCTGCTTTGTTGAGACCGAATATGCGTGTGAGTGGATTTGGATGAGTTGAAGCAGGGCGATGGCATGAGGTATTTTGGAAGCGTTGTGGGGGATCGTAAGTATGGAGGCGTTGGGCAGGTGAGAATGCACTGTCGGAGGATAAGGATATCGGAAATACGGATCGCGGCGGCTGCGAGGTGGAAGAGGGAGGGTGGAGTGCAATGATGCGGTGATGCGCTTGTCTTAGGCAGTGCGTTCGGGGTCGGGGATGTGTATTGGTTGGTGTTGTTGCGCGAAAGGAACGGTTGTGAGATTGTATGAAGGTTGGCGCCAAACCACCTGGTGCGATTATGAAATGTATACCATTTCGTCTGGTGTTGGAATTTGGTAGAACTGCCGTGTTTGTCGAAGAGATATCAGCTGAATGGGGGTGTTTACTGCGATCAGGGGGATTCGGCGTGAGATGCAGTGAAGGGAGCAGCACGCACTGCTTTGTTGAGGCCGAATATACATGTGAATGGAAGTGGATAAGTTGAAACAGGGGGATTGCATGAGGTATTCAGGAGGCGATCTGGGTTGGTGTGTGTATGGAGAGATGGCGCAGGTGCGGATGCAATGTTGGTGGATGAGAAGGGGCTACAAGGATGGCAGCGGCTGGGACGTGGAAGAGGGGGAGTGGAGTGCGGTGATGACGGGATTTGTTTGCCTTAGGCAGTGCGTTCGGGATCGTGGGCGTGAATTGATTGATGCTGTTGCTCAAAGAGTTGTTGTGACCTTGTATGTAGAGTCGGAGGTGCATCGGTTTTACCACTGTGCAAAGTACAGCATTTCGTGTGTTGTTTGCATGTGGTAGAAGGGCCGTGTTTGTCGACAAGGTATTAGGTGAAGGGGACTGTGTTGTGCGCCCAAGAGGTTTCGGCGTGAAGGCGATGGTGAGGGCGCATTATCTCAGCCGCCCGCCACCAATCTGCGTTGCAGTGCGGGCTGATCTGTCGCAGTGATATCGTTTGTAAGCTGTAGAGGTGAAGGGTGGAGATGTTGGGGTGGATATAGGCTAACGGCGAGTTGGCATTGATGGGCTTGTGATAGCACCAATGCAAAATTAATTTCATTGATAGGCGGGCCGGGTGTTTGCCAATATCTATGTCGGCAATTGTAGCCGGCGTTTGGAATGCAGGCGATTTTGTGAGGGTATGTAGAACCTTGCCTGAGCAGTGGCACGACGTGCGTACGACATGGATACTTGAATGCTTGATGCCAGTCAAGGATTTAGGTAGCGTATAAGTAATGTGGGCCTCTTAATACGCCTGCTTGGGGCTTTCGTGACTGAGTGTATGCAGAGGTTTCACGAATGATGGAATGTCAGTGAAGAATCAATTCAGCGTTATCCTTGTGTTTTGGGGTTTCCGCATGTTGAGTAACTGTATTGTTATCATTGTGCTCGCTCTATGATTAGGTGCATCGAACTATGTCATATGGCTGAAGCGGCCTTTGATATCAGCATCCATGAAACTGTAGGCTGCGATGCAGTGAAGGAAGCAGCATGCATTGGGTTGTTGAGGCCGAATATACGTGCGAGTGGAAGTGCATGGGTTGTAGACCAGCGATGGCTTGAGGTATTTAGGAGGCGGTGTTGATTCGTAAGTGTATGGAGGCGTTGGGCAGGTGAGGATGCAATATTGGAGAATGAGAAGGGGCTTTAAAGATGACAACGGCTGCGACGTTCCAGAGGTAGGGTGGACAGCAATGACGGGGGTTGTTTGCCATAGGCAGTGAGTTCGGGAACGCGCGCGTGAATTGACTGATGCTGTTGCTCGAAGGGAGCGGTTGTGATCTTGTATGTAGCCTGGGTGGAATGCCTGCCTTACGAATGTGCAAAGGATAGTATTTCGTGTGCTGCTGGTATGTGACAGAAAGGCCGTTTTTGCCGTCAAGATATGAGCTGGAGGGGAGTGTGTGGTGCGACCAGGCGGTTTCGCTATGAAGGCGGTGGTGAGGTCGCACGACCTCAGCCACTCGGCACCAATGTTGCAACTGTCGCAGAGGTATCATTTGTAGGCCGTGGAGGTGAAAGGTGGAGATGCTGGCGTGGATACCGGCTAGCGGCGAGTTGGCATTGATGGTTTTGTTATGGTACACGTGTAGAATTATTTGCATTGATAGGAGGGTCGCGTGTGTGCTAACCTTTATGCCGGCTTTTTGGCCGGCTTGTGCGAAGCAGTCGATGGTGGGAGGGGATAAGCAGGCTTTGGTGAGGATTTGCGCAACGTCACAATGATACTTGATTGCTTGGGGCCAGTCAACGATTTAGGTTGCATTTGCGCTAATGTAATGCTGTTAATAGTCCTACTTCAGGCCCGCACAACTTCACGTATAGACTTCACGAAGGACGGAATGTCAGTAAAGAACCAATTCAGCGTTATCCATGCGCTTTGGGTTTCCCGCATGCTGAGCAACTGCATTGTTGTCATGGTGCGCGCTATGCGATTAAGTGCACCCAACTATGTCTTATGGTTGAGACGCGCTTTGAGCCCAGCATCCGTGATAGTGGCAGTTACAATGCACTGAATGAAACAGCAACCATTCCTTTGTTTAGGCCGACTGTATGTGTGAGTGGATGTGGGTGAGCTGAATCAGGGCGTTGGCACGAGGTATTTAGGAAGCTCCTTGTGCTGGTAAATGCATGAAGCCACGGCGTGGTGAGGATGCAATGTTAGAGAATGGGAAGGAGCTATACTTATCGTGGGCGCTACCAGGTGGATGTGGGAGTGTTAAGTGCGGTGATGAGGGGATTGGTTTGCGATAGACAGTGCGTTAGGGATCGCCGCCGTGTATTGATTGGTGCTGTTGGGCTAAAGGAGAAGTACTGGCCTCGTGTTAAACCTTCGTGGAACATCCGAGGTAGGACAGAAAACCCCTTCTCGTTCTCCGTATAGTCGGAGAAAGAGAAGGGGGTTTTAAGATAGATCGAAAATGTGGTGGCGGATACGATGTGGTAGTCGAAGCCAACACTGCGGTGATGAGGTGGTTCCATACCGTAGAGAGTACGTTCAGGAGCATATGCATGAAATGCCTGAACTGGTGGGCGCTGTGTCGCTAAAGCACCTGTTTTGGCCTTGTACATAGCATGCGTGGACCATCCCTATGACGACTGTGTGAAGTACAGCATTTCGTTCGCTGTTGGCATTGAGCAGGAGGTGTGTTTTTGGGACTGTGCAAAGGACAGCTTTTTGTCTGCTGCTTGCATGGAGCAGAAAGATTGTCTTTTATTAAGCAAAAATGGGCAGAAGAGGAGTGCGGGCTGCGACCAGGCGGTTTCGGCGTGAAGGCGGTGGTGAGATCGCATGAGCTCAGCCACCCGGGCCCAATGTGCAATGCAAAGTGCACTTGCCTGTTGCAGTGGTATCTGTTGTAAGCTGTGGAGGTGAAAGGAGATGTTGGCGTGGATGGAGGCTAGTGAGAAGTTGGCATTAATGATTTTGTAATATTACAACTGTAGAATTATTTGAGGGTCGCGTGTATGCAAATCTCTATGCCGGGGTTTTTTAGGCTGCGTGTGCGAAGCAGGATTTGGTGTGATGCCATACAGAGCTTTGGCGTGGCATTGATACAATGTGTATTCAACATGGATATTTGATTGTGTAGTGCTGGTGAAGGATTTAGGTAGCATGTCAATGTAATAATGTTAATATGCCCCCTGGGGGTCTGTGGACTACGCGCTTGTATAGCCTTCCTTCACGAAGGATGGAATGTTAGTGAAGAATCAGTTCAGCATTATGCATGCGCTTTGGGTTTTCCCGCATGTTGACTAACTGCACTGCTATTGTTGTGCCCTCTGTGATTAATTGCATTGAGCTATCTCTTATGGTTGAAGCGGGCTTGTTCGCAGCTCCCGTGACAGTTGGAAGGTGTGATGCAGTGAAGGAAGCAGCACGCACTGCTTTGTTGAGACCGAATATACATGTCAGTGCAAGCGCATGAGTTGATGCCCAGTGATAGCATGGTGCATTTATTGAGCGATGCTGATTCGCAAGTGTATGGAGCCGTTGGGAAGGTGACGCTGCAATGTTGGAGAATGAGAAGGGGCTACAAGCATCGCGGCGGATGCGACGTTTCGGAGGGAGGGTGTAGTGCAGTGTTGAGGGTTGTTTTGGCATAGAGAGTACGTTCGGGAGCGCGTTCGTGTGGTGGTTGTTGTTGGTGCGCGAAGGGAGCGGTTGTTATCTGTGGTAGAGTTTGCGCAGAACATCCCTGGTACGACAATAAAATGTATAGCACTTCCTGGTGTGTTGTTGGCATGTGGTAGAAGAAACGTGTTTGTCGACAACCTATCAGCTGAAGAGGAGTGTCTGTTGCGACCAGGCAGTTTCGGCGTGAAGGTGGTGGTGAGATCGCATTACCTCAGTAGCCCCGCACCAATGTGCACTGTACCGTGCATTGATCTGTCGGAGTGGAATCATTTGTCGGCTGTGGATGTGAACGCTGGAGCTGTTGCCGTTGATATAGGGCAGCCGCGAGTTGACATTGATGGTCTTGTAATGGCACAACTGTAGAATTGATTGATTTGAGTGTTGCGCGTGTGCTAATAGTTATGCCGGCGTTTTTGCCGTGGTTTGGGAAGCAGGCTTTGTTGTGGGGGCATACACGGCCTAGGCTGAGCAATGGTCCGACGTCTATTCGACATCGATGAATGATTGTCTGGAGCTAGCCACGGATTAATATTGCATTTGCGTTAGTGTGAGGCTATTGGTATGCTTGATTGGGACCCGCGCGACTGATTGCATTTAGACTCAAGGGTTTTTGTTGCATTTGCGTTAATATGAGGCTGTTAATAAGCCTGCTTGGGGCTTTCGTGACTGAGTGTATGCAGAGGTTTCACGAATGATGGAATGTCAGTGAAGAATCAATTCAGCGTTATCCTTGTGTTTTGGGGTTTCCGCATGTTGAGTAACTGTATTGTTACTGTGCTCGCTCTATGATTAGGTGCATCGAACTATGTCGTATTGTTGTAGCGGGCTTTGATATCAGCATCCATGAAACTGTAGGCTGCGATGCAGTGAAGGAAGCAGCATGCATTGCTCTGTTGAGGCCGAATATACGTGTGAGTGGAAGTACATGAGTTGTATCCCAGCGATGGCTTGAGGTATTTAGGAGGCCATGTGGGTTCGTAAGTGTATGGAGGCGTTGGGCAGGTGAGGATGCAATATTGGAGAATGGGAAGGGGTTAAACGTATCGTCCCAGCTGCGGCGTTGACCAGGGGGAGAGGCATGCAGTGTTGAGGCGGGTTGTTTGCAACAGTCGGTGCGTTCAGGATTGAGGGCGTGCATTGGCTGGTGCCGTCGCGTGAAAAGAGCGGCTGTGACGTTGTTTTTCAGGTTGAGGGGGAAACGCTCTGGTTCGAATGTTAAAAAACGCATTTCATGTGCTGTAGGCATGTGGTAGAAGGGTCGTGTTTTTCGACAACGTATCAGCTGAAGGTGAGCGTGTCCTGCAACCAGAAAGTTTCGACGTGACGGCGGTGGCCAGAGCGCATGATTTCACCTGCCCGCCACCAATCTGCACTGCAACGGGCATTGATCTGTCGCCTGTGGATGTGATATAGGGCAGCAGCGAGTTGGCATTGCTGATCTTGTAATAGGACAAGTGTAGAATTATTTGCATTTATACTATGGTTGCGTTTGCGTGCCAATCTCTATGCTGACTTTTTGGCCGGGGTTTGGGAAGCAGGATTTGGTTTGAGGGCATGCAGAGCGTTGGGTGAGCATTGGTACAACGTGTGTTCGACATAGGTACTTGATTGTTTGGGGGCCAGGCAAGGGTTTAGGCTGAATTCGTGAATGCATTGCTGTGATTAACCCTGTTTGGGGTTTTGTCGACTGAGTGTCTGTATAGGCCTGACGAAGGATGGTATGTTAGTGAACAGTCAGTTCAGCGCCATCCATGCCTTTTGGGGTTTCCGCATGTTGAGTAACTGCATTGTTATCATTTTGCCCGTTACGT